TAAAATTAACTTGGTCGTGGAATGCATGTGTGTACTATAACGCCTAACTTCAAACAAAGTGATTTTTTGAGGCAGTGGAAGTAAGACAACAACGAAGTTATAAGAAATATCAATTAATACTGCCGATGGATCAAGGTTATGCACTAAAAACCTTTATTAAGAGATTAGTAAACAGTTTTTAGAGCTGCTTTTAATCCAAGTTTTTTCGAAGTTGTAACAATGTGTTGCATGAGAACAGACTGAATAATTTCAAAGACTGAATGCTTAAAAGGCAAATCGCAAATGCCATTTGGGGCGGAGCGATCGCCTCACTTACGATCGCAGCCTCACTCACTGCATCTCATAGGACAGAGGCATCAAATGTGAGTTGGGACAATTTTATCATCTTGCATCTTTTGTGGACCTTCATTCTAACCGCTTCGCCTTTAAATGCGCAAATGTTACTGCAATTTGATTACAAAATATACTTTGAGAGGTTTCGCCACAGCACACGAATGATTTAGGCGAATTGTTGTAAACAGTGGGTAGTGGCAAAAGAGGGTTTTTTCCTCATCGACTTTGACATTGGGGCTTTATTGCCACGGAATCAAAACCTCGGTGTCAAACGCAACAGATGAACTGAGAGCTTTGATAAGTGTTAAATGTTAGATGAATGGGTTGAAAGAATCGTAAAAATGAGATAGTTGAGTCGTATAAGAGTTTAAAAAGGCCTAACATCTCTCTTCGTGAATGAGTCTGGTCTGTAATTTATTCCCTTGCCAGTCCTCTGTTTTCGCTTCTAACGGCACTTTGGGGATGTAATTTTGTTACACACAAAAGACAGGTCGTCCCATTTACTGTCGCTTCCACCCTGCTGTGGAAGGAAGAAGTGGACAATGGAATGAAGCCTTAACCATTGACGTCTGTGTCAACACTTATGACCTCCTCACAGGTGGAGGCAAATTGCTGGCACAGTTGTCAAGGCATACTTTACTCCACCACAAAGACTCAAAGCTGAAAACCTTTTGGCTTGTTTAAGAATTTCAAACGTTCTTCACAATATTTCATTTAAGGTCGCTGTGACCCTTCAAGACACCATCAGGCTTTCCTGTTGTGAATGGTTGGTGTTCCACTGCAACTATGGATGTAGTTTTATAAAATTCCGATTTACTGTCTGGATTGTCGGGGAGGATGTACTTTAATGCCTGTCATTAGATAACCCTCAGGATCTCTTAATAAGTGAGTGAAGATTGGCATTACTTGTTTAGACCTGAATAAGATTACATTTGAGATTAAGTTACTTCGCCTTACATTCTTGACAAGTTTGCATTTCGTATTTAAAAGAGAGTGGTTACGAGAGTGCGACGCATTTTGTTAAGCGCCAGGAAGAGCTTTCGAGTCCGCCCTCCTCACTCCATGCATGACTCTGCTCCAGCATCCAAGACGTCCAGTTTGATACTTCCTCCTGCAGAAGTAGTGGCCAATGTTTGCGTTAGGAATTTTTAGCTCCCACATTCAAGTTCTTCAACCACTCAGAAATAACAAATTCAATTTGTACCCTTCCGTTAACTTCTACTGAGTGATGCTAAGGCAAAAGTCAATGGGTGGGTTGGGATAAGAAGACAACAAATGGCTTTTACGTTTTTGTTTTGTTCTTAAGTCAAAGTTTAAGTATGAGTTAAACAACACCTGATAATTTTAAGTGGATTTCCTGATGTGTATGTTTGTTAGGCGAAGTTTTGTCTCCTTACATTTACAAAACAGAAATACTGCAAGGTCAAACCAAAGCTTGAAGATTTGGCCATTTCGGCTTGTAGATACACAGACTGAAGATTGATTCTGTCTTGCGCTAATAAAAGGGAGGCTCCTCCCTCTCCTTCTGTTATGCCTGTCCCAGAACTGTGATAGTGCGTGCCCTCGTTGTAGTGTCCCAAAACTTCCCCAAATTCAAGGGAAGGTATGAGGCACGTTCGCTGGTGCACTCAAGAGGCCAAATCACCTGATGGTGGTACAGTGATAGGAGCCCTGCGTTTCTGAGGTTCCATAACAAGGACTCAACCAAAAGGAGTAGAATGCTAAACAACAATCTGCAAGGGTCAACGTAAAAACTGCTTCCGAGATTCGGCTTCACTTGGGTCAAATGAAGAGACTTAATTGCTTTAATTTGCTTACTCGGTGTCGACATACCAATCTTCGCCATATCTTGGTTCCTTTATCCTCGTAAATGTTGAATTTCTGTTATAATGTCTTAAAGACACGATGGAAAGGTGAAGAGACTCAATCTCAATGCAACTTCTGTAACATAATGAGAGTCAATTAGCTGCCATTACGAAAAGAGAGCCACCTTTACTGAGAGTTGAACCAAGACAAGAAAGAAGAACTACAGCTCGACGGACAATTGGAAGTTCAATTCTTCTGTTTTGGAAAGTGAACCAACGCAAGAACTGTCTGCAGGTTAGTTCCCTTTTCCTTTCACTTTTCTCCCATTCGTTAAGCATGGACGCAGGTTAAAAGTAATGCTTATATAGAAGTTAGTATAGATCGTGGACTCAAAAATAAGAAATCTATGCGAATTTATGAAAGAGTTTTTTACAGCAAAGATGTAGTGAAATATTCGAGCCTTGCGTGAAGTACTTTGAAGCTTTATCGGCATTACAACTGCCAGCAGCCGTGAAGACTAAATGTGCAGGAGGTTGGCCAAAAATCAACACCCTTTTCGCACTTATGCGCATACTATCAAATAGTTTGGAAAATTGTGGAACTTCGGTGGAACACGGTGGTTACTAGCACTGAGATGAGAATCCATGCCTTTAAGGAGGTGAATGTCCAGCCATATCGGCGTTGGTTTATAGACCAACTGCTCAACAATTCCATCTGCCTTAGCATTGATGTTGCCCGCGCCTTAATGCCAAAAGTGCCGTCCATTAAGTTACTTGTTTCACAATTCCTTCAGTTAAAAGCATCCTCAGGGCACAAATTTCTGCATGAATGAATGGACTAGTCGCCACCTAAATGAAACTGTCTAGTTCTGACTGTTACTTTGCTGGTGATGTCGAGCGTTTCTGTTTGATTGCATCTTTCTGAATCCAAATTCTTTAGGGTAAGTGCAATTGATGCCGAGGGGTACAATTTCATTGGGATGTTGCATCTTACATGGATTAATAAAATGTTAATCTACACTGCATTACCTTGTCATCAGACATTAATTATTTTTCCTTTAGGCCATGGAAAGCCCATCTATGAGAGACTATTTTAAATGATTTTGGGTGTTTAAATGTGCTTTCGGATGTAAATCATCATGAAGGAATGGCCCGAAGTGATTGACGTAAAAGTATGACATCCGCAATTCAAGGGAGGTGTCTGCTTTATCTCTGGGTTAAATCAGCAAATTGGAGTGCAGAAAGGAAAATTGCTTGATCGTTTTGTGCTTGTGGGTTGTTAGCTCCAACTCCTCTTCACTATGCACCCAGAAGCGTTTTGTTTACATTGTAAAAAGGTACATGACAATCTGCCTGTTGCTCTACATCCGGATGTTTTGCAACCAGATTTAAGGAACGCCTGGAGGAAGTTAAAAGCCACTGTGACTAAATGCAAAGTTGGCAAAATGTGTTTATGCCTCATTTTGGTGGTAAACCTTTAGCACCACTTAAGTTCACTTCGACACTCCTGATGCTAACAGCAGGTCTCACAGATATTAAAGCCTATTTCTAGTTCACAGGCGCAATTTCTTGACATTTTTTTTAGGGGTGCGCCCTCAATGAACGTCCCTCTGGTGCATCACATCCAGAATGAGGTCATGTGATGTGAAGGAAATGTCCCAGCTCACGAGTGGGACGAGCTGAAGCTCCCCTCCGTTGGGGGGTTGGAATCCACTTAACGCGCTTGCCTACACTTTGCAACCTTAAAGGTATTTTACGATTGCAATTTTTTAGCTTTATTCGCCGAAGTAAATGACCGTATTCAAAATATGATGTTTAGTAACGAGAAAAGCCCAAGGGAAATCAAAAATCCTGGTTCTCTTTACCATCGTGAAGCCCCACTTTGCTCCATATGCCTTGTGCAACAGTTTACAAGGCAGTCATTGGCAAAGGTTCGTAAGCTTGCCCGATGTAAACACGGAGATAAAATTCTGAATTATGGAAACGGCCGTCGATGGTTAATGTTCTCGACTTTCTTAAAATTACTGTCCTAATAAAAACGTAAATATACAGAACTATTTGTATTATTTCTAAAGAGCCAGACACTTTAGCTATCACACATGAACGATACGAACAAATGTAATTTCGTGCACCTTTTGTGTAATATGGGAAAAACTTCTGTCGCTCCCCTCGTCAATTATGCGGAACAGTAGACACGTCGTTGCCCTACCGCCCTACTTCTTCCGTTTTAATTTGCTCCCCTTCATGTAAAAACTATGTTGTCTTTGGAATGTAACTGCCTAGAACTCCTCCATTTTTCAACTTTAGACCCAAATTTGCTCGCATCATAAATTGACACTAATTAAATCCGCATGGGATGCAATTTGTGACGTTCCAAAGTTTGAAATCAACCGGGTTCGTGGAAGTTTTTATGTCTAACAACTAAAGAAGAACTTATGCTCAATGTATCAAATAATGGAAAGAGCAGTACTTTAGATATTATGGAAACAAAATCAATGGATTGGTTCAAAAATAAATCTTCCTCTTTTAGAACTTTATTGCAAAGCTTTCGGGACATCATTTGATTAGTGAGCAGTATGATGTAGGGCGATAAAACCCCTCCGTAATAAGAATCGACCTGGAGCAGAAAATTTCCGTAAATCGGTTTGTTATCTGCTAGGACTGCCACCATTTGCCGCCCTAGTGACCTTACCCCTTGCTAGCATCTGATTGGCCACTGCCATTTCGCACGCTGCTTATCCATTGGGTACTGGCAAGCGCGCGCTCCATGACTGATAGCACTAGGCCTTCATTCTTGCTCTCGCCCTTGAAAACGTGAACATCTGACGTACTTAGTTTGGCCACTTCCCCAATGATCTGGTAATGAGTGAGTCACAAACCACCGTACCTGTGCAGGTCCCAAACATCGAGGTTACCGAGAATCTCACTTCCAGTTCCCACCTCAGTGCCAGTGTCGAACGACTTGTGGAGGTCACCCGACGTCTAACCGTATGTAATCAACTCCAGTCTGCTCTTGAAAGTCAGAACGACACAGCTGGATCTCCTGAGGATAAACGCGACACTGCCTCAACGTCTGATGTGCCTTTGGAGTTGGCAGAGGAGGAGGAGATAAAACCTACCACAGAAACTGCTCACAGCTCGGAAATATCTTCACCGTGTAATTTAATGACCCCTGATGGTAAAACAGGCCAGTTCCCTCAATGTACTACAAAGAAATGGGCACGATTATTAGGGATTTCATCTGAGGATATCGGTGATGAAGAAGAATTCATTGTAAGTTCTGTTAAAGTTTTATTGAACAAAGTATTCACAAGGCCACTTAATGATTCTAGAGCATTTATAAGGCACTAACTATCAAACTGGCCAAATTTTGCAATAAGTTGTCTGACATCGAAAGAGAGTGGCAAAAATCATTTGTATTCTTATGCCTTTGGGGTTTATTTTAAATGAGACTTTGAATCACACATTGTCCAGGCTCTGTAAATTACGATTTAACTTTCCTTTGTGATATCAAAATTCCTCCTTTTAAACTTTTGCAGCATATCGTTGTACGAAAAAATTACTGCTGCATCACTCTCTTTCACACTTAATTTTCAAACTCTTCGAAGCATGACATTGGGATTTTTTTCAACTTTCGAAATTATCCAGATTCGTAAAGCACCTTCTTTTTGAAGTGCCGCTCATGAACTCACACCTTTTGATGAAAGTGTAATGAAGTAAAAGTTTGGTGAGATCGGCATTTCTGGCATCTTACTCGAGCTTTCAATCCTTGTCAATTAGCGTCAGTCGTTGGCAAACAAGGAAGGTGTGTGGCAGTTGAATTTGTTCACCCAACACCCTTTTGTGCATTGGGGCTGCAACCATCTCCAGGCGCGGGCTTACGTATTTTAAACAAAATTTATGAAGAGTTTATTTTACTGTGCAAAATGAAGCTTCACTGTGTCCTGAGTGCTTAAAGAGGTGTGGTGCTTCCGCAGCATCTCATGCATTTCGTCCATTGATGTTGATGTCTGTTGAGTGAACGTCTGCACTGACTTCGTTACATGTCAATTCAGTTGACATATGTGATGAGTGAGTGATGGGCTGCCAACTTTTGTGCCCGTTAGGTCCCTCGCCTTGCGCTCATAATTGAATCCAAAATATATTATTGCATAGCAGGAGTTCAACGAACAGTTTATAATGTCGCAAAGCTTTCAAAACTCTCATGAAGGAGCAAAAATAATTGTGGAGAAATGAAAGCTGAGTGAATTATTCGCTTATTTTTTGGTTTTGTAGCACAAGAATTTTTTCGCATTATCTCCCTTTTTCATCATTACCGATGGGAGAAGGGTGACCGAAAAATATTCTTTCACAGCATATCAGTTTAAAAATTGTATTTTCTGAGTTCGCAAATGAATAGAACGAAGAGAGTTTTGTAGGTCTATCGCGCATATTGGCATTGCCGCTTACCTGTTCATCTTTTTAGTACCTAAAAAGTTTTCTATCGCTTTGCGATTAAGGTTAAAAGGAAATTATTTTAAGGCGACCACTAATCCGCTGTTTCCTTTGAGAGTTCGTATGTCGAGCTTTACGAAACTATCACTGATGAGCTCAGTCAAGGCATGCTTTGCACGAATCACTGCTCCTCTTTCCTCATGCTGCTCAAAAATGTACCCACTTCAGATTTACCCTGCGCGCATCTCCTTGGAGCTCAGTACTCTGAACAAAGAGTCCTCTAAGGGAGAATAGCTTTAGCTTGGGCAAATTCGTCCACCATTGTACCTAGTGCTATCTGTCTAAAGGGAAATGGTCATACAAAAACTCCTTAAAAATGGGATACAATACTCCATCCATTATTCTAAACGAGAACATATGAGCCAGTCTAGCGCGGCGTAAAGCACACCCTCTTTGTTGGTCGCAGCTTTCCTATCTATCCACGAGCCCATTTGAAGCTCCTTCAGCACCATCAAACACATCCTGCACTATTTGCTCGGGTTTTGGTCAAGACGTTATCAACGTGTTTTACATATGGGATACTCGCCCTAGCATTGGATACATACATTATGCAAATGAGAATTCATGCACCGAAAAGGGAAAGTGAAGGCGAATCGCCTCGCTCTAACTTCAGTACTTTAAGTATGAACATGTGAGGGTAAAGTCAAACATTTTTTTTTCATTTCACCGCACACACGTGTGTTCATGTTTAAACACACTTAAATTGCTTAATCGAATTAAAAGCTGGAAGTTTTAGGCTGATGGAACTTGTTCACGAACTCCTTTACCCGCAATAAGGCTCTATGAATCTAAAGAATACCGACGACGTAGTATGTTAATTTGAAATTACAAAACGGTGGTTGTGAATCTCTTAGTTTTGTGGCAGTTATTGGTAGAATATGAGGGCCAGAAAGTAGCGGCAATCGGTAGTGTTATCTGATTGTTGGTGGGAAAAATTAGTGCGATCGCTTGCACTACAAATTCGAGGAGCACAGAGCCTACATCGTTCAGCTGTCCATCTCGTAAAATAACATGTGTTATTTTGAAATCGGACATTTGCCCGAGGTCAGATGCCCAAATGGCCGCAGAATGTCACCATAGGCGAAGACATACCACTGCACTTTTTTAATTCGCCACATTTTATGAGGCCTCGACCACACAACACCGCGACTGGGTCGCCTTCTGTTCACAGTAAATCCGAGGGTGGTGGCGTGTAAAAACTTCTCCTCCAAAGCCTGTGACAACGAATGCAATCCATTCATTGGACCTTATACCGACACGAAAACAACAAAAACCTCTTTTCTGTGTCGCAGACACCATTTAGCACGCCCTCAGCATCCGACTTCGTGTTGATTGAATGCGACAGTTTGTCGCCTTAATCTAGCATAAGACTTATAAAACCACTCGTTTTTATGGGTGTGACAATAAGTAATGGAAAAACAACTGAGATCCCAGGCGGCCAGTCTTCGGAAGCGATCATTTTTTTAGTAACTCATTTCCCCATCACCAGCGTTAGAATGCGACTGTTTAATTGTGGGCAAATGTAATTTGGAAAATTGATGCCATACTAAAAGTGTGCGTCCTCGATTTCCAAATTAAAATCATTTCATTTTAAAGAAATACCTCTCAAAAGCACGGAAATGTCAGTTATGCGTAATCGAAAGTGACGGAAGCAGCAAAAGTCAATTTTCCAAGACTGTAACTCATGTTGGAAGCAGGCAAACTGACTCACAGCCTCACTCCACCCGAATCAGTAGTGACTGCAGGCTGTCACCACCATCCTCGTACACATAATCGCAAATACATATGCTTGAGGCAAATGCGAGCATTGTCGCAGTCTCAGTGCCGGTTTAAGTGTTTGCTACGCAATGGTCAAGGCGCTTTATCCTTGACCACGAAGATTGCCTGCATAGAGACATCTGCACCCTTGATTTCAAACAGTTTGGTTATTCTCCGCTCCCAGATTAGCATAATTATATGCAAATTCTTTTCGATGAAGTGGAGGAGGAGGAGGAAGGAGGAGAATAGGAAGAAGGAAAAAAGAGGAAGACAAGACGCGGCTGATGGTGATGAATTACATGGCGAAGCAGCTCGGGAAGATGACGGAGCTGATAGCTTCCTACGAGGTCTGCATTCGTGTTTGTTTTCGCAATGGTTATGCTCGCTAGAAAATCTCCCACTCATACAAATCGCCACTCCAAGTCCCTCTTGATTAAAGAATTTACGTGGTTCGGGAAGGGGCTGGTCGAAAATCGAAAATTTGTAAAAACTTAGTGGACATTGGAAGTCCGCTATCGTATTTTATGAAGAGGGGATTCTTTGCGCTAATACACCAACTGAACCTCATACCTCTCTTCGAGCACCAAAGCAATTGGATGGGAAGGTGGAATGGTCTGACTTAAAGTGGTAAGCAGCTAACTTGTGCCCTCACTTAGTCTTCTTTCAACAAAACGGTAGTAAATTGCGAGTGAAGAGGACTTTGTTATGTCAATGCTCCCAAGTGGCAATCATCCACGCCTCTAAATCCACCCATACTTATGCCTCTCATTACAGATGGAATGCACACTTCCAAAGTGGTAGTTTTTCATACTCTAAGTAGTTGTTTTTGACGTATTATTGCTAATATACATTTCTTGTTCCATGGATAGGGGCAAGTCATGCTCTCTTTTATGCCATGCCTGTAGACGTGTACTTGGTCAATGATACGATTTATGCACCAAATTCGAGTCAGGCAGCCTCACTCCCTGCTGCCATCACATGTGTACGAGGAGGTTATCCGATCGCAGCAATACAAGCGATGCGGGCTTTTGAGAATGCGTTTTATTTGGGGAGACGTCGATTCGGGTGGGTCGAAACACCGTTTGAGTCGACCGCTTTGCTCTCCTATGCTTGTGTGTGTGTGTGGTCGCCCATGCTAAATCTTAATTTGCTTCCATCTCCGACTAAACTCTGAGCCGCATCCTCTACTGCAAAGCTCCAACGGTTTCTACTTTACTTTAAGGCAAAAAAATCCATTTATCCATTAACCGTCCAATGTAGGATGTGGAATTTAACGAGTAAATGATTAAATAAATGCAAAAATGAGCTAACCTGCCAAAAACTCGTTCAACTGTCTTGGCCTGAAGCACGTGGAACAGCGAATTCATCCTCATTTTCACTCAAGTACTTCAGTGCATTGGCTCGTGTTATGCGCTCTCTTGATTCTTAATTATTTATTTGTTGAAGCTGAACAAAAGGGAAGGGACCTTATTGAAGAATGAAGTTCATATTTGCTGCATTTGCACATTCCTATGAAAAAAACTAGTGAAGTGACCGGCAAGTTGGCCCTCAATCCTAAAGTATTCCGAGGAAGTTGAAATGGTGTATATATAGCAAGTAATTTAGCAAAAAAGCGACAAAATGACTACCTCTCGCCTTTCATGGTGGGCATCGAGGTGGATGTTGGCTATTCTTCTCCATTGCACTTTTTTTCATAATTCAACTGTCCACACAGAAGATACTGCGCTGCAAAGTAGACGAAATGTTCACCTCTGATTTGCATGCATTTAGCTGTTTGTTTGGGACATTGCAGTGCATATCACCGTTTGAATAGCGTCCTCTTCGCATTGAATGCTCTTGAACATGCGATTTCTCGTTCAACCTAATGTCACACCGTTCCATCTTTCTCCTGGTAAAACTGTAAACACTGACAACGTGAACACTTCTTTGGCAGGGAATTTCCAATTTGTACATCTACTGCACTGTGGTTGATCTCCTTACGCACAATGAATAATTAAAAACCTGTCACTGAGTTGATCGATGTTGTGTTTAAATTTTTACGTTCTTTCAGTTAAAAGACGAACCCAGTTTCACTCGGGACATTAATATTTGGAAGGCCTGATGAGTTGGTGTGCCCCTTTTAAAAGAACAATTTCTGGTCATACAGACCCCAATAATACTTTACTTTCTGTACTGTCCTCTTCCGTTAATCACAAAGAGGGCTGCTGCCGCTATCACTGCTCGTATTCCAACACGTCAGTCGAACACGATGTCGGTAGCTGAACAACGAGCACTTCGACAGAGCTGGAATGCAGCTCTGGATGCCGCTCACTTCGGTAGTCTTGAATCCATGGAAAGCTCCTCGGCGAACAGTCTTCGAAGGAGTTCGAGCTGGAAGGACAAAATGTACGCTGTTTTTTTTTATCGCCTAACAGACGGGATTTCCCGTGTTCTCCTTGCATTGGCCTCTTACATACCTCAGCCATCCACTCATTCTCCATCCAGGTCGTTACCTTTCTTCTCAAAACGATGTACACAGGTGAAAACGGTTCAACAAGATGAGCTTCTCAAAATGATTGCCTCTGGTAAGCCGAGCTACGAACAGGTGCATAGGTGGAGGAAGTCATTTGAGGCGCTGCTAGCTGACAAATGTAAGCACTTAGTTAACAATTCTGCTGGCTGCGTTTAATAAATGTACTTCCTTCAGACTCCCAAGCACCACAATGTGATACCTCAAACTTTTCTAAAATAACGACTGTGCCAACCTTCTTTGGTAAAAAGGAAGGAAAAAATAGCTAATTTGGTATAGCAAGACGGAATTGTTGCCACCTCCGGACTCCTTTTACGCAAGTTATTTAACTTGTGTTAAGTAATATCCCAACGCACGATTAGGCGTTTTATGTGTGTCAAGGCTTTAATTGCCCCCTACGATGCGATAAAAGTACAATGATTTGATTAACTTAAGGAAGGGGAAGAAAAATGTGGTGCTGCAGAGCTCGAGGCAAAAACAAATTGGTGACAGGCCAATGGGCCAGGCCTCAAAATGCATTTAAACCAGTACTTCCAACCTCCTTCAACGGTCACCCATGTCCTCCTTATCACCACTTTATAGCATTAGTGGAAAAAAATTTGTGAGCATAATGCATTCATTATTTTCGTCCAAGTGCTGCAGATGCATTCAAACTGCTTGATCAGCTTTTAAGCATCTACACCAAAATAATGAAGGCATAAACACAATTTAAAGGATGAATTAAGACTATAAGTATGATGAAAACAGGATGGCAAAGCTGCATCCTTTTGAACGCTATGATTATGGCGGCAACCGCCCCGGATGCCACATTGGTTGTAAGCGTCGGGCAGAGAAAACGTCGCCATAACAGCTGCAGCCATAGTCACCAAATGACGCGCACACAGACTAGCTGATCGAATCAAAATGCGCCAGCAACAATAAAATTTTCCATTTGGATGGTCTTAAAAGACGTCTTTTTGGTAGAGGAATGATTGACAGTTATTATCCCATCTTTGGTGGGATGGAGATGTCACATCTCCTCCTATTGCTGGAATGGACACTTTGCTTCACAGGTGGCTGGCCGTGAGAGATGAAGGGTGGAAAATAACCACACTGAGAGTTGCACAAATTTGTTCTTACTAAAAATTGAATCTAACTTAATTGTAGCAAGCAGAAGTAACAAAATCATTTTTTAAAAAACCCAAGTCAAGGTAAATGTCTATGCAAGCTTTGTTTTTGCTGAGTTAAATCTAATTGACTTAAATGTCCAGACGGGATTTTATTGGAGTTTTGCAACCGCTCTAGTCCTAGCGGCAAAATAACGGTGCAGTAAAGTGGGAAGTGCTCGGGTCTCTCGCTTGACAGTTGTAACCTATACTGTCAGAAGGGATGGATAGTTGCCACGATAGCATTTCATAACTTTTTTACTGAGTGCTCACCAACATTGGCTCGTGTATTTTTGGTTGCTGGTGCGCAATTAAGATTTACGTTGTCTGGTTACCTCGGGGCGGTGGAGAAGTAGCCATGCGGTGCCCTTGGTTGTTAAGGCATGCGGTCTTAGTCTCTCTGCGTGTGCTCTGCGTCCCATGACTTTTGCGAAGGCTGTAGATGATGGAGTACTGTGACGGAGCCTATATTGCCTACACGTAGGGAGAAGACCGAGTCTTAAGTGTGGATGAAGCCAATTGAGGCGTTGAACAAGTTTACAAAGTGCTGTATAGTGCAGCAGCAAAATAGGTGCTTTGGCATTTATACAAATCAAATGCAGATAAGTTCCAAGCTTACTTCAAAACGCGTCTAATGTGCTGAGCATTTGTATGGGGATGGCCGAGCTCCGTGTGGCCATTACACCTTGAAATCTGTCTGTTGACAAACCGTGGTTTCCGCACTGTTTGTGTTGACGAACCAAGACGTTAAATTAATACAAAGTTGAGAGAAAGTCACTTTTCACTCTCTTTTATATGAAGGCGAGATTTATTCATGTAAGCCTTTATCATACCAAATACGCCAATTGCCACATTATTCCCTCCCGAGTGTAACACTTGGCCCAAACACCTTCTCTGCAATGCATATTCCATGATAAAGTGGGGATTGTGCTAATCATATTCTTTATTTAAACAGTCTGTGTAATAGACACATAACTGAAAACCCACTATCATAGAAGCGTTGGAGGGGGACACCTCACGCCCGTAGTGACTTCCATCATGTTCGTCTGCATGCGTGCACTGGATGTGCTGCACCCACCCGATTGCAGGGCGTGTCTTCACTGTCCCACTAACTGGAATGCCTTTTTATACTGCCATTTCTTCCAGATGGTCTGGCGCTCTTTAAGGAATTTCTAGCAACCGAATTCAGCGATGAGAACATTGAATTTTGGATTGCGTGTGAGGAGTATAAGACGATAACGCAACCGAAAAAACAACAAGCAAAAGCTCAAAAAATTTATGAGGACTTTATTGCAACTCAGGCTTGTAGAGAGGTAAGACCATCTCTTCACTCATTCACTTCATTCATCGACCTTCGCCACTCTCTTGTAGTACAAATGAAAGTGTTCTTTTTGCTATAAGACTTTTTCTACAATTCCATTGCCTGGTGAAAGTGTAAGAAGGGCATAAAATGTAAATGCATTTCGTTGGATCCTTATAAATCGTTGCGTGTGTAACATCGGACTCAAGTTGTATCTAAAGTGAGAGCCTTGTTTTGTGATTGGTGTTGTTTTTACACTGAGAACAACGCATGCCAACGTGAATTTCATAGACATAACACGTGTCTTCCACAAGCTAGTGATTTTGTGCTTTTCAAATAAAACCAATAGCAATTCTTTAAAGCCAAATGAGCAGTGTGCATAGCATTGTAAAGGTAAATTAGGCTCATATAGTACTGATGCGTAAATAGTTGCTGATGGGGTAGGGTATGGTAAATTTTTTAGTGGCTGTTTCGTTATGGTAGATTAATTTGGACTCGGTTACACGAGAACAAACAATCGCAGAGTTGGCTTCGCCCTCCACACACACTTTCGAGAATGCGCAGAAGCGTATCCAAGCCCTGATGGAGCGCGACTCCTACGGGCGTTTCTTACGTTCCGACCTCTTCCTCACCCTCCTCAATCAAGCGAAGCAAGCGGCACGAGAGTTGGCAGCCGCGGCTCGAGATGGTCACGAAGGTGGGGGTGGCATCTCAGGAGAGGGCTCGGCTCGTTTCCGGCTGCCCACATTCATGGGTGGTGGGGGAAGCGGGTCCGGATCCCTGCGGGCTGGAGGTGTTGGCACTGACCTTCCTGGTGTCCTAGCAGCTGCGGCCGATGCCGAGGCGGGTATGAATTCGGTGCAGGACCTTGAACTCCTCGGTCTTTCCACCTCTCGACACATGCGCAATATGACCAAAAGTGCGGCAAATAAGCGTTCCACCTCCTCGGGCAAATCTTCCACCTCTCCATCCAAGCCGCCTGTACAATGAAAACAAGTATGACAACGATGTCTGTGCTTGTCCATGTGTTGCCCCGTTCCCCCCTTTCCTTCTCTTCTCATTTCTTCCATGGCACTCGCGTTTTTGAAGGATGACTTTCATCTTGTTCTCCAGGGGGATTAATGCACTCTTATCTATGCGGTGTAAATAAATTTGGTGATGATGATCTGCCTATTTTTGCATTGTGGACAAGCAAAGCTAGTCATAAAGTGCTTTCTTTTGCGGAACCGTTTCTGTCCTTTAACCAAATCAGCTGAGATGCTCAGCCTTCTAAATAGTGAAAGTCAAAAGTTTCCAACCAGATCCATTGGCCTTTGCACAAAACTGTTTTTACTCCTCTACATCAAGGCTTCAAAGTTCTTAAAACTTCTCCATGGCTACTAAACTTTGATTAGATTTTCCCCATTTTAGTTCATATTTGATACAAGGTTTAAATTAACTTTCATCCTTCAGATATTCATGATTTGCTAATTCAGTTGGGCATAAAGAGAAAAGCTAGTAACAATCATAATCGCCCCTCCTGAGTACTACTGTGAGTTTTTTGGAACAAAAGGCCACATGATTTCTGCCACATCTCCTCGTGCCATGCCCACTGGCCCATCACTTTCAGTCGCACTCCGTCAACAGAAGCAAATTGGCCGATTGCAGGGTCAACCGGTCAAACGACGTTTCACTTTAGTTACGTGGTACGCAAATAATCCAAATGGGCTTCCAAGAGGGTGAGACATCACGGCGCAAGAAAATATCAGCATATTAAAATATTGGCTTCTTCTATTTCGAGAGACCACAATTTACATCGAACTGCATGCTTTATTCTTTACTTATGGAAGCAGCGTAATCGACACTGCCCTAAATACAGTGGCGGGCACCACTGTCACCTCATCACATTTTTTTGTCCATGTGAAGACCTCACGGACCTTACGAAACGTGCACTGACTGTCACCCCTGTCATGAACAACATTTTTTTGGAAACTTCTTTGCCATTTGGGCATTGAATGCTTGCAATCCAAATGGCAAAAGTCTCTTCGACGCGATGCCATCACACTGCACTTCGCCCAGTTAAACGACCAGCGTCTTGTACACATGTCTGGTTCTGCAATTGCAATAAAACTTCCCCCACAACGAAAAACTCTATTTCTTTCTTTCATTTTTTACCTTTATGGTTTTTAGGAAAATAATACGTACATAGTGGGCTCAGAAACACATCTACAGGCCAAATGTCAACTTGTCACTAACTAACCAAAAAACTAAACTACCTGAGCATTTTACCTCTGTTTTCGTTTGTGTTGACTCTTGTTTACGATGAAAACGTGCTACACTAACTTTTCAACCAAAATACTTCTATTCGACTACCCTTAACTGCCATCGTTGCCTTGATGGCATGAAGTTATCTTTGAAATATTCTTCAAGTTAGGATCAGGTTCCTGCTTTTTTGTATCTCAATTTCGAATTAATATGCAAAACCACACTTTATGCTCCATCTGATACAAATTTTGTTTGTTAAATGTGTTCGTGTTGAAGCGAGTGCGATTATTGTCTCTGGAGAGCATCTGAGGTCCACATCACTGACTATAGCTAACTTCCCTTGGCCACACGTACCCAAGTCTTTTCCCTTCCACCTTCTTTAATCGAAAGCGCTTTCACTTTAAAGAAAGAGCAGTGCCCATGACCATGGTCACTTCAAAGTTGCCATTTATTTGAGTTTGTGTTTTTATTCAATGCGTTTTGTCCAGTGCAGGAATGGCATTGCGCCTTTGGTGAAAAGATGCACTAGCATTGAGCTTTGCCCTTAGATGGGGATAAGAATGGCTATTTTTAGTCTTTGACTTCTCAGCTTGTTCAGCTTCAAATACGCTTACACTCACACATGGGAGGTCTCCTATTGCAACGCAGTAGGCAGCTTCCCTAGCAGGTAAATGAAACTCCTTCATTCCCACTGTAGAAGGCATAAGACATTAAAAATAAACACACAACAAATAAATTTATTATAGCGAAAAAAAACTAACTACACAACCTTGCTTGAAATAACAGACGCTGATGATAAATAAACACATTTGGACGGACAACATTTAATGTGATTTATTATTGCTTGATGTATTCTGAAAAATGTAATTTCAGAGGAAGCTAAATTTTTAAATTAATCAGCCGATCACTTTCGCTCCTGACAAACTTAATAATTTCTTCATCCTTCGCCTCTTTTGCTGGTTCAACCAGTTGGCAGTTTGAGTAGTAACCGCCTGGTTGGAGTTTGGGTGTCAATGCCAGGTAGAGGACAGACTGACCGGCCTCCCAGTAAGTTTTGAAAAATGCTCCAAAAATGGCTGGTATGAACACCTAAAAATGTCATACTTCTAGACCCTTAGTTTACTATGACCTGATTGTAAAGGGACTATTTCATTGACACAAGATTAGTCGTTTTTTTTGACAAAACTGACAAGAATACTTATAGTCACAACAATAAAACAATTGACCAAGTGGTTACAAAGGCAAAAGTCACAGTTGAACTAATTTTAGCCTTGTAGAGTATATAGAAATGTCCATCATTTGTCGGCGGCGTCTAAGTTTTATTAGCTCCAGCTTATTTTATCTCACTGTAGCTAAAAAAGGATTTAGCATTCCATTGCACGCATTCTTCCTGACAGATTTTAGGCCAAGATGATACCGGTTCATTCTGATCGACTACGTCTAGTGGTTATGAATCAAGGCAGTGGTTGATTTAGTGAAACCTATCCAAACTTACGCCAAAGTCGGGAAGCACGTATCCTGGGTGAACGCTAACGGGTATCACGGAGGTTCCTTTAAATTTCTGGGCTAATATCACTCCGTGTATAACATTGGCAAGCTTAACTTGTGCAAGAGCCTTGACTGAGTTGAATCCGTTGTAATTTATGAAGAAGCCATGTTCCTTGAACTAAGGTAAAAATATATGCATGTTACTGATAAGTTTATCAGTAGGAAAGAGAGGAAAAGAGTCCTACCGAGCCACTGGTATGTTCAGCCGACGAAATAATGATGATTCGTGCACCAGGTTTCGTTTTTAAAAGAAGCGGTCGCAGTTCATCCGTAAGTAGGTAGTGCGCCAAGTGGCCAATTGCCATGGTGGACTCGTAATTATCCATGGTCGTGAAATAGGGGCCGTGACTGACCACTGCGTTGTTGATCAAGAAGTCTAATCGACTTGTCACATTCATAATCTCTTTTGCAAAGTCTTTTATGGATTTTAGAGAATTTAGGTGCAGTGGCATGTACTTCAACTGAAAATAGAGAAGCGAAAAATCATATTTGGACGAAAATATTAATTGGGACTGTGAAATTTACGATCCTGTAAGTTAAGGAATGTGTTAGGAAGGTTGGGATACAATGACATGAATCGCATCGGTGGGACAAAATGTCTGAGGTAATCTTCCTTACTGATGCATTAACTATTAGCCAAATGTTCCGCAAATGAATTTTTTTCATTGAATTAAGAACGATCCATAGTTGACTCTGAGGAAGACCATCAAGTGCTAATAGGTGCGGCCATTTCTTCAGATGCAGAGCTTTTTGTCATGCTACGAAAGCTCGTTTAAGCATCTTCAAGACTTGTCATACATCATCATAAAGTGGTTCATTAAAGCCTATTAGCTCAGTGTTCCTTGTCTGAGCCAAGCTAGACCATTTAAACTGCTGGCGGTCTGCGCCAAAATTGATTCCATTTGGGTTGGAAAAAGCACATGCACGCCCAGAGCCTCTAATCACTGGTGTAAACCTAGCTTCCGCACACTATTCAGGTACATTTTGCGACCCAGGGCGCACCTGACTAGAGCTGCGCATGGGTACCTCGCAAGTGGATGAAGCAAAGCCTGCCTTGCCAGTTGCAATAGCACTTTAAACTTATCCTTAAAGTAAATCTCGAGATCATTATTCTAATGAGACTTTGCTCAACCGTCTTTAAATGATGTAACAGAGCTTCCGTGAGTGCTGAAACCTTCAGTTATTAACATTACAAATTGGTAAAATTTCCGAGATACCGGTAAGACAGTGGTTCTACCTCGCTTGCATGATAATAAGACCAGATTTTTCGGAAATCGGAGAAATTTTAACATTTAACATTGAGACAAACTTTTATCAACTATGTAGATCTCCAAACAATGAGTTGTAGAATTTCACGATTAAAGGCTAAAAATGCGCAGTTTTACTTTGTTTATGTGATCATCGAATGTCTGACGGTTATTTTGTATTCGTTTTGTCCTTATGTTTGCATGCCAGCATCTGAACCAAAACATATCCCAATTTTTCTTTTCCTAAAATACGTGCATTTTAGCCCTAACTAGTGAGAAGTCTAGGAACGCTACATGCCTGAGTGTTTTCCCTTAGTTCTTCCAATTCCGATAAAGCGGTTAGAAAATGAGCAGTGGCGATGAGGGAACCACTTATTTTAAACGTTTCGAGTGTCCTGCTGTGGTGGTATTTATGCATTTTCAAAGTGAAATTTCCACTGTGAACAATGTAGAACTATGCGCAACCTACCTGAGGTTCCTGAACTGGAGTAAGGTTTTTTTTAACCACCTCGTCTGCAAAGTCCATATTCACCCTTTCTCCGTCAACACCATAGAGGCGCAGCACTTTATCACGGACAGAATCGAAATGCTGCTTGCTCTGGCAGCCGAGCAACACTGTAGCACCTCGACGTGCCAATTCGGCTGCAATTTCGGGACCCATGAATGAGGGTCCATCTGTTACAAGGGCCACACGACCGTCCAACCGTTGGTTGATGTGGCAGAGGCACGAGCGAGGCCAGTAGCGGAAAAGCACACCAAATGTGAAAGCAATGAGTGGTATGAGTACAGTGCTTGTTCTCATGGTAGCCTAGTGCGTGCTTTGCAAGATTTCTATGCGTTTGTGCACTAAAGCTCTTCTAAGTGGTGGCACGGAGCTGATAGGCCAAGCTATAGCAGGCAATTGAAGAGAGGTTGCACGTCTTGTCTGCGGGTGAAGTACCTGCACGCTTCACCGAAAAACAGAATTCATAAATGTGTGAAAGGCTTTGGATTTAAGCTAAGAGTGATTTGAGCTTGTTTTATCATTTCCTATGTAAATTGGAATGGTGCGAAAACTACAAAGGGATTTGTGAGTCTAACTGAGTCAGTAATCACGATGGCATGCGAAAGTAAAGTGAACGTGTGTAATTTAATCTGGGTTCACTATTTGATATGTCTGTAGCGTCCCGAGACTTCCCACGGAGTTGAAGAAGATAATAAGTGAATCTGGATACATGTATTCCAAAGAAGACAAAGCAACTGGGCCTGGGCTTGACCCAAAGGTCAGACCACGAGTACAATGGCCAGAGAAATCCAAAAGTGACCACCGAGAATCAGGTAGTCACATAAACAAGGCATTAAAATGTCAAATAGAAACGCAATGAGATGAATAGATTTTGACTTTCCAAATAATTTTATGGCGTGGCTTGTGATGCCTTTTGTGCTAATTTAATTCCTGGTTTCAGTTGCGGTCGCTTTGGATACATGGACTTCACCACGAAAATCGACCCCAAAACCACGCCTATAAACCTAATTTTTCTTTTGTTTACAAGTTCCTGTACTCTGCATCCAGTTTTTTTAAACTTTCCATTTGGTGAAAGAGGGCATGAGGCTTGAATGAATACCTGCATTGAGGCAGAACTGATAGGATCGGAGCTATGACCTGAACCAAAAGGTTAGCTCACTTGACAGAGGTAAGGTGACTACCAAATACATAGATATTTAAGTAGACAAGGTATTATTCTATCTAATTATGATATTTTCTTCCTACCTCAGTAGAACCTCAACCACCTTCAAAACAAATGAACCATTCTTGCATTTTCGTAAATATATTGTGTCACATAATGTATAAAAATTACACCGATGTCAAAACGCAAACAAAAAACATCTTTTAAGAACTTATAATCTAAGAAGAGAGCAATTTTTAACTCTGAGAAAAAATTTTAGGCAAAATATTTTGCATGTAGATATTAAGAAGATCAAGCAAAGAACTCTATGAAATAGGTGCATTTGTTGTAGGTGCAAATATTTTGATTTTTTCTAACTTTACCCTTCTTTTAAATGATACTATTCGCTTCAGGGTTGTCCCAGCTCTTGTGTGACGTTTGCGTGTGTGTTTCAGGATTTTCAATGGGTCGTTTATTCATCGAGCATTTAGGTGGCGAAAGGGTGTTTGTTTGTCATTGCCATACCCCGCTTACTAACAGAGATGAATTACTAAGTACGCGATTTACTGGATCAACTGGGCGCGCGTTCCTTTTTCACCGTGTTGTGAATGTTACCTTCAGTGAAATTCAGGTAAATTTATTACCTTTCCGCATTGTTAGGAGTTATTCACAGCCGTTTATTTGTATTCCGAACAACTCGTACATTAAATTTTCTATGATATTTTTGCGTATTATTGGGCTCTTTTTCTGTGTTGACTAATTTCACTGTTTTGACACCCCATTTCTCAATTCACAATGTGTTTGCCATGTTTAAATGACTCATACAGGGCGCTTCGCTAAAAGCTTTAGAATGGTGAAACCAAACTTTATCATCGTGGCGCTGCCGCTGCTCTATCCGTTCATCTGAATTCCATTCCGTTGTTACTGATTTCTGCTTAATTTTACTAGGTATCATTTGGGCCTATGATTTTCTCATTGTCAAATTTTAACGGCTTATCCTCATTTGTCGTTTGCACAATGGACACTCACTTATGTAGTTCTTATTATGTTTGCTCTACTTGTGCATCTGAATTCCACACTTAGGACCGTGTTATGATAACTGGTCGCCATCTAGTACGCGACGTCCTCTGCATAAACTGTGGCAATAAATTAGGGTGGATGTATGAGTACGCTATGGAGGAAAGTCAGCGGTACAAAGAAGGGAAGGTGATTCTCGAAGAAGCACTGATTTTTGAAGTGAAGGAGTACGCCGATCCTCTCTCTGAAGACGAAGAACTTTTCGCTCCCCCACAGGGTGCTTGAATTTACTTTCTACCTCTCTGTTTCTCTCTCCACACAAACATTGGGCTTTCCATTAATTCCAAGTTAGTGTGAGCTTTTTGGTGTCATCAGATGTGTCCTCAAAGCTAAGCACTAATGGTATTTGAGTCGCAGTGGAATCGTTTAAGACTCTCTGCTGAGTGTTGTTTATAGATATTTACAATGATTACTACTGTCTTTACCAGCATTGACTTAATTCTCCTCGACAGGGTTTATGGCGGGATCAGGCCATATTGGGCCTTTGAAATGATGGTGTCAAATTAAGAAAAGATTTTAGACCCCATCCTCATAGGCCAAAGGTTATGATTCGTGAAAATTGTTAAGTTTTGTCATCTCGTTTTGGATCATGTATTTCAACGAGTTAGCACCTGCAGAGTGTGCTGGCAGCGAGATTCGGGAGGCTCCATGAGTCGCGTAATTCTGTGCTAACATATGCCTGAAACAAAACACAATGATAGATGTTGAGTTTTAGTGGACGTCTCTGGCGTGTCTGAATTCACAAACTTAGGGTATGCGGGTTCGTGTCTCTACTCTATAGATTGCTTCAATCGCGTCGCACTGGACTGAGTTGGTAACTGCGGTAATTTTTTGATCACCTGTATAGGTGGCTATGTCGAAGCTCTACTTCTACCATTTCTCCCTGAATACAGGTGTCAAGGCGTACCCTATAACTTTATCACCGAATGAAAAATGTCGGAGGACCGTAACGGCTACTGACATATTTCCATGGTTTTCATCTGCTAAGACTTAAGTTTTTCTCCGCTCTTAGGGCTTTTAATGAGTGAAGGAATGGGTCTATCGCAGCGATTCCAAGCATCGGTTGCAATAGTCGCGCCAAATTCGTGTCGAGCACTGAATCCTTTATGAAGATATTTTCATGCTTTTTAAACAAAGCTAGAGAGTGTAAGAACAGCTAAACTAGATTTAAGCAAAATCTCGGACAGTTTGTTGCAGACGGGCTCAAAATGGCACTACGATTTGGGTAGCCACCACAATCCTGCGGACGGTATTGTAGGTCCGCATAAGCCTAGCAAATACTGAACACGAGCGGTTTGGGAATGGTTCTTAAAGGGTTTTTTACTTTTTTCGCTAGGGTAGCAATAAATTTGGCTAATAGCTTTGAGTTCTTACTCGAGAGAAATGTCGACACGTACCATGAACCTGCTTTTGGACCATGGTACAGCAATGCAGAACTTTCATGAAGACGCTCTGAATTCTCACAGAACAGCTAAACAATTTTTGTTGTAAATGCTTAATTTTATTACCCGATGAACACATAAAGTAAATCAAATTGGAGGCACATTGGGGTAGAAAACTAGCAATAACTACTACGCAGTAGTGTAAGATCTGACATTTCCTCAACCTTTATAGCTGTTATTTTCGCGATTGGCATTAAATTAAAAAATCAATTTTAGTCTTTATATTTTTTGGCCTGTTGTTTCTGGCGTAAGTTATTATTTCACATGTATATTATCACCTTGAGGTTTGTTTATATTTCCTGAAAATAGCTTGTAGGATGTCGTCCGTTCAGTCGAACATATGCGCTTGTCAAGTTGGAGATGCTGTCGTTGCTGCTGCCTGTGTATTTGGCAATAATTCCTTTTGTTTTCGCTGAAACGGCTCTAAACTGGACTGTTTATCATTCAAACTCGGAAATTGGGTCAATTCTAAGGGATATTAACAGAAAATGCGATAACATATCCTTCTTCTATCATCTACGGGCAATGAATTCCGACGTAACCGTAAATAATAACAAACTCTACGTTTTGACATTTGGAAAATCACCTTATTATCACAAAACAGGTATTATTGCGATCTTTTTGAAGTTTTACTCGGACAAACTGAGAAAACAACGTGATTTATCTAAATAGTTGGTGCTTCCCACATTAACTTCTATTTACTTGCACTCTCTATGGGTTGATTTGCCTGCAGGACAATTGTTGAATGTGTAGACGTGTCTTTTGTTGCTCTAGGTATTCCAGAAGTTAAGCTTATTGGTAACATGCATGGAAATGAGGTAGTTGGTCGTGAACTTCTTCTCCGCTTGGCCGATTATATTTGCACTCATTACCTCAATGGTGACGATTTTATAAACTGGCTTTTGGAACATACACGAATTCACATCTTGCCATCAATGAACCCGGATGGTTTTGATTTAGCAGTGCCAGGTGTAAGTTTTGTTTCTAATTTTGTCAAGGTACTAAAACTTTGGTCGATGTATAGTCCAATTTTTATCATTCTTTGACTCACCCTTTTTGCATGCTCTTTTCAGAATGATAAGAAAAACACAGGTCGAAGAAACGCGAATGGTGTTGACTTGAACAGGAATTTTCCTGACTCGGATCGCCTTCATTACCAATGGAACGTGAAAGACCGAGACGAACGGTTCGAGATTCTCAGCGATTATTATAGAGCACCAAAGGTACTTTGCATGCAGGCTAACCTTTAAATTAATGATTACGCATGAAGTGACAGGGAACAGTGGTGATATTTCCGTATGGTAACGCCTGCATGAAACAATTACCAGTATTTCAACATTTTACTTTAGGCAGAAATCGAAACGGAGATGGTGGAGAGGTGGCTCCGTGAAATACCGTTTGTTCTTTCTGCAAACATACATGGAGGAGCATTAGTAGCAAATTATCCATTTGATGGTACCATCGATGGACGGAGACGAAAATCATTGACTCCTGATAATGATGTTTTTGTGTAAGTTAACATTCGAAATGCTGAATTTTAACTATGAATGCTCTTATTATCGATTTAACTTATACATTTGCTTTGATGTGACTGGACTCCATTCATATTGTCCCCGATGTTTCGCATCAAGTCGGTCAGGACCTAGCTTTAATTGACTTGTCTTCGCATTGTTTCACTTAACCAATTTTTCCATGCAATCCATTATCTCTTGTTACTCTAGGAATTTGGCCGAGGCTTATTCCAGCTACCATCCACGAATGAAGACCGGCGAGGTCATCTGTACCGGTGACCATTCCTTTCCTGGTGGAATTACAAATGGAGCAAACTGGTATCCTGTCAAGAGTGGTGCGTGTAATCTTTCATTTTTGAGCTGATGGCTTCGTGATAGGTTGAACCATGAGGAAATAATGTTAACTTCAATATGCTTTTAACTAGGACGCGTTACTGTTTATTATGGATTTGCACACTAACTTTATGAGGCTGCGTCATAAATCTCCTCGTATTCTTTTCCTGCAATGTCATACTATCACGAGGAGCTTACTAGCTTCTCCTGTAATTGTTTGCTACGAGAGTCTATGCCATGGATTGAGGTGGCCATAATTTACACCTACTTTTATAAATTGGCGAAAAGAGTTCTTCTCGTCGGAACTTGACTGTTTAAGCTCGGCACACTTTTTGAGCTTAAGTAATGTGCGATCTCGAATTTACACATGGATGCGATAATAATACGTAAGTTTATGCATTGGGTTCTTCTCCTTGAAGTAATTGACATGACAGTAATTGGTGGGCGACGGAGAAGCATCGATCTGCAAGAATAGCGTCGATGCGAGGCGTTTTCGATGTTTGTGATTGGCTCGTTTGGGGAACACACTTGCGCTCTCACCTCGTCCTCATACGCCCACTTCTCTGACTAACTGAGCATCGCCTTAGAGCCAACGTCTACGCGACGTTGAGGACAAAGGTGGACGCAAAAAACTTGTCCCTTCTTACGGCCAATCAACTGAAAATAGCAAATCAAAAAGGCTATGTTTGTTAAACTGCTCTTGCCCGCAACTATGATTTGCTTTATTTAGTGCACTATTAAGGTCATTGAAATTTGTCTTTCAAATGTTGTTGAATGTGCCACAAAACAGTAGAAGTAGAAGTGAACTGTAGAGGATAAGAGATGGGAGTGACGAGCATTAAATTCATTTAGACGTGCATTAATTCTTCGCATACATCAAGGGTTGAAGTTGTGGATATGCTCTGGTGTTGATGAGCGTGAGAGGTGGCAGATATCTTTGAGTAAGCTCAATTTTGTCTTGTTGTTTAGGCATGCAAGATTACAACTACTTGGAGACAAATTGTTTTGAGATAACTCTCGAATTGGGCTGTGACAAGTACCCTCCAGCGAAAGATCTGCCTCACTATTGGAATGAAAACAAGAAGGCTTTGCTCAACTTTGTCCTTCAGGTTCGTCATATGTTAAAGTACTACTGCTTGATTACTCCTTTTAGTATAAATTGTACCATCTACCATTTTTAGCGTCCACCAAATTTTAGAGGTCCTTTTTTTTGAATGTGTATGCATATTTCACTTCTTATTCCTCCGTTCCAGGGTTTACCGTTGTTTTTACGTGGACAAAGTCTGTCCATTTAGAAACTTCCAAATAGCTCTCTTGAATGAATGAATCAAGTTTTCGGCGCCCTTGCGATCAGAATTGAATTGGCTTAACTTTTCTGTACCTTTTTGTACTGGTGTGTGGCAAACTTCATTATTCGGCACAATAGCTGTACTTCTACATTCGCAAGCTATTGGGCCAAATTTAATGTTGGTTCAGAACTTGTGTTATGAGTATGTTGGACATCACTAAGACTGGGCCCAATTCCAAAATCTCAATGAGTAACATGTATAGAAATTTTCATGATGGTGCTGCAAGTAGGCAAATGTAACAAAAGCACTCTTAGTATCACTTCGTGAGACTTTCTTATAGGAGGACGGCAGCATATGCAAGCAGCCATCCGATCGCATTCCCAAAGAGATCCCTTTACTAGAACCCGGAGCTGAACCAATGTTTAAAGTATTGCATAACACCTTGGCTCCGCTGATCATCACTTTCGACAATCTCCCGTCATACTCTTATCAAAACACTTTAAAGTCGAGCGTTCCAGTCACAAAAGTTTCGTGCAGCTTAGGCGAAACTTCACTATACTGTCGCCGTTCCCCTTGAAAATTCAAATGGTTCTACAATTGGGGGTTGTACTGACCTCCCCAGTTGTAGTTGTAGCAGTCACGCAGCAGAGTGGAGTGGAGTTCATTTTGGTGTTTTCGCGTCGTGCATACCCAACCGCGGTGTCTGAACTTTTAGTTACCTCGACAGTTAACCTTTCCGGACGGCTGACAGCTAGTTTTGCATTAAAAGGCATAGGTTTTTCTATAGATCACAAGATGGCATTATTTGCCAGAGGCTGGCGTCATTTTCAGCGCCTGTTCGAAACTGTAACTGATTCTTTCATCTGCGGTCTATGTACTAAAGTTTGTTACTCAACAGTGAAGGTGAAGATCGATGGTCTTCAGGCTCGGGTTCATTGTCCGCTGGCATCAGTGTTGGACATGGCATTCAGGTAGAAATTGTATTTTTGACCTGAAGGCGTGCTCTATGGCTAGTGGGAAGGATTGAATCAAAGTCCACCTGGTGGGCTGCAATATTGGGGACTCAAAGAAAGTCATTTGCCGTTATTCCTGTAATCTTTTACGCTGATAGAGGCGAATTTTGCTCATCATAGGATCTCCGCAATCGGCAATCTTGATAGTAACTCGCCTTCCTGCCTTTCCATTCTATGACATTTTGACTGCAGCAATTTCATGCAAAAATATTAGAGGAAATGCTCTGAATATCCTATATTCATTGGTCGATTTGCCATACCAGATTGAGTCGTTATTCTTGATCTTCGTAATGTATTTGATGTGTGTAGAGGATCCAAATGAGGGTGTTGGCGAGAGTCAAACTCATTCATACATGTCATACGTAAACCTTTTAGGCTCACTCAGGAATCAAGGGCCTCACTTTAGGCTACAAAAATCACAAGGTCACACCTCTTCCTGATTCAGTCATTTTGGTGATGAATATTACTGACTCGAATCACCCAAAAATAATCGACCATGCCATTTTTTCAAGTAAGTCGGAGTTTGTTATTCACCGAAGATTTTCGTCATCGCCATTGGATTTCTTGGTCTTCCCATGAATCATCCACATACTTTATGTCGAGATCAAACCTCAGAACCTCAGACTACTGTGCAGAGTAAATTTCGATTTGAGTATTTTATTTTTGTAAGCAACGATCACCATTCTGATTATGAAATTCACGTTTCAGCTACTTCGCAGGGCACGATGGGCGAGTAACTGCTTTTTTACGTTGCATTGCAATCTAGGGTTTCTTTCAATATATTTTTTACTGATATCTAGATAGTAAAGCCGATTATTTCCGACTTTTGACGGGTGGAAAATACTTCGTTGCTGCCATCCATCCGGGTTATGCTTCCGCCTTCTGGGTGACTGACGTGCCGACGGCGCCCGACCTTGACAGAGGCGACTACCACGAAGCAAAGAAAATGAGCTTCCTTCTTGTTAGTGGAGATTCTAATCAAGGCACAGATTTGAATGACGAAGTGGACTTCATCACCCACCGCTACGTAAAGAAGGGGTACCTGCGGACATCATCTACCTTGGGGCGGGAGGAAACTAAGTGGTTGCCAATGTTTCTTCAATTGTTCCGAAACACGGATGTCTACCTGTCGATGAAGTATGAGGTATGTTACGAGCTTCCACTTTGACACCCAATTGCATATCGATTCTGACTCCGGATTCGACAAATTAAAGTTCTTTGATTTGCTCACATTCCTTTCCTCTTTTAGGGACTTTTTGATCCATTTCTACCTCTCAAAGATATGTTCGACATACCCTATCTGTAGACTTCACCTCCCTACATCAGAGTTGACACTGTCATATAATTATTTGTTAGCTCCCGTACGGTAGTCCCGTGTGCTTGACAGCGATCGTGTTGTTTTGATTGTCTTCGAATATTTTGCGTACAAGTCCTCGTCACTCAGGTGCGCATGCATGTCGCGTCGTCTGAAATACATTATCTTTTGCTTACTCCTCGAGCAACGACCTGTGACTTCTACACTACAATTATCAAAGTATTTGCCTGCAAAAGTAAACTAATTCATCAAATAATCACTTTCCACTCAGTTGTAAGAATTCGACAGCAATTACTGACTCTAACTAGGCCCGTACTCAGACCTACATAATGAGGGGACCGGGAACACTAATAGTCAAGAGACACACGACTCCTACCGATCGCTGGAGAAAAGGAACAAGCAATTAGAAACTCGTGCTACTTATTAATCAAATTACAAAGAGTGGACCATTCGCTCCTTGTTGATGAGATGGGTGGCCTCGTTAATGAGGGACATAAGAGAGGTAGCGTTGTGGGACCAATCGTTGAGCACATCAGTGGCCAACTTGCTTTCAGTGAAGCGTACAACGGTGTCGAGCCTGTCAATCTTAGCCTGTACAGTCTTGTTCACCACCAGTTTGCACAAACACTCTTCCGCTTCCTAAAAAAACGAGGAATTATAAACACCAGCAACAACATATAGACGATTGCATCAAAAGAGCACGCAAAAATTGCTGTTACTATATGAAACTCGCATGTCAATAGATGAAACATAAAACGACTAAACTAAAAGAAGGGAGACAAGCCATATCACCAAATGAGGTGCCTTATATGGCGCAAATATCTTTCGAGATGGGTTTTAAAGTTCCTCCAATCTAGAATTCCGAAAACTATTGACAGAAGTTTCACGCAATGCAAAAGGTAGAAAAGCTTAAACGAATATACTAGTCACCAGCAAGTGAAGTTGTTCCAATTATTTAAAAAAGCAGAAATAATGGTTGTTCCAAGCGATTGAGTGTTCAAACTAAGAGATGATAGATTAATGCAATCTGCTCATGTCACTTGGTATTACTTAGGTTTATTAAATTCCATAACAGCGTAACACAGGATCACGAAAAGTTCAGAAACTTCGGCAGTAATAAAGCGTGAACTGACTCACTTCAACATCCAAATGCAAAAGCTCGGCCAAACGAGCAAGGCGTATCTGAGTATAATACGCGGATATCACTCGGATGTTGTGCTCAGTGACACGTTCCTGTAAAGATTTGAAAGATTTTTCTGGCCTTTGATGATCATCAGAACTAGAGAAGGCTAAAGTCTCACATCTCAAAGTCTTCTCATGGCGTTCACGGAAACTTTTCCAACTAAGAAGTTCCTGAGTGGTGAACGCTTTGAGCATGTCTCTGAAAAGGCAGTCAAGGATTTAATTTTGGAAATTGCACGAAGAGATAATGGAACAATGAAATTGTTAATACTTCTCACAAAGGAAAAAAAACACTTGAAAAGCATAAACCTTACAGGTACTCAGGAAGAGCCTCTAGATCACGAAGTTTCATCCGACGGTGCATCAAGTCGTTATGTTCATTATCGTATGGGGAAAGTATAAGATACACAACGATATTACAAAGAGCCTAGAAAGTAAACGCAAAGAAATTGAGGCTACACTTCTTTTATCAGCAGGATTCTCTTGTACCAGCTTTGTATTGTAAATTTCCCAAAAATGTTTGCTTATCGACAAGTATGCATCATGCTGAATGTCGACTTCAATCATCTGCTTGTAAAATTTGAGCTTTAGGTCCTCAGTTCCTTCCTCTTGAAAGAACTTTGGTGATATCTTTCGGCTTAAAATTTGTGTACGAGAATAGTCTTTATTAGCCAAGCAAAGTCGCATTTGTTCCAAAATGAATTCCACTTTTTCGCGTTTATCCATCGAACCGAAGGTCTCCACCTTTACTTCTTGAAGCACATCAGCGGCCTCATTAACAAAACCATTAGATTCCTTGATTTGAGCTAGCATTCGAGTCAAACGAGCCCGTTCAACTTCAACGTAAATCTAGAGATGCCATAGGCAGACATATGCGCTTAATACCTTCCCTTCTGTTACTGTTCTCAGTGTGGCTATTAGATTTAGTTTGACCTGTTCGTCTGCTATGCTTCCAACGTACTTCATCGCCACCTGGACCATTTTTGCGACAGCTTGCTTTAATTGGTTCCGCTTTTTCGACATAATAACCAAATGTTCATTCAATTTTTGCCATTGCTCATGATCACCTAGCATTTCCACGATGCAAACAAGAAGACGACCAGTGGAAATCGCATCAGAAGCCTAATTACTAAGCAAGACACAACGAACCCTTACCGTTCTTGTTTGTTTTTCCAGTGCATAACACTTCTCCAGTGCTTCATCAATCTTACCACACTAACAAAATAGGTCATTGAGGACCATCCCACCTTTGCAAGGCATTTAAAGGTAGGTATCTGTTCATCAACAGCGGCCGCAAAATCGTGATCCACTTTTTCAATAGCCATTTCGACAAACTATGATAAAAGTCTGACGAGTGACTCAGACGCAGACTAACAACACACGATGGACACCCATACCTGACCTTAACCGCAGTTAACTGTCCTTGATTCTATAAACCTTCATACAATTCGGATGAGCCTGTGTGTAATTGTTGAGTTTCAAGAAAGCACCCATTCGTATTAATTAGAAAATCATCGTAATGCTATGTACATGCGACCATCTGACTTCAGGCGGTTACTTCAAGAATCGTCTGTACCTTGTAGGTATGGGCGGACCTTCGGACCAAGCTCAGGTCTATAACCTTGTCCACCCTGGAAAACACGTATCCAGCTCTACTTACTGCCTTGTTCTACTCTGTTCCAAATCTCGGAACGGTAGAATCATAATTTTACATTAACAATAAAGGACCAAAATGCAGTTGTACTTAGACTGATGAAGATAAGGAGTTTTTTACTTTGCATTCTTTAGTAAATATGCTAAGAGTCTCAAAGCTTTTCATCGCTACGGAATATCTTTTGTGAAATCAATTCACAATGTTCGATGCAAGTATCCACCAACTAAAAATATTCAGACTTCGTTTCGATGTTGAGCTTGAACCTGCACAAGCAGCATGCCGAGTAAAAATTAAGTTATGCATGTAATTTATGATTTTATAAAGTATCGAGCATTTTTGCCCTAGCCGAATGACCATTAGTCCTTTAGTTGGCACTCGCATTGCTTTTAAGCATCTTCAGCCGCATATTCGCAAGTTAATGTTAGCTCGTAACCAAATTAATCGCCTAGCATGCAAAATACTTTTAACCGACTACTGATATTTGTTATTACCGTTTGCGGCCAGTTGGATCTTTTGAGCTGCCATCGTCTCTCCTCTTAATAGCGTGAGTTGGCTGAAATGGGTATTTTCAGCTTTCTTGGTCTGACACGCAACGATGAAGTGGAGAATGCGTCGAAAACTAACCTTATACTCATTGGTCCACCTGGTTGTGGGAAGGGAACTCAAGTACATGATTGTACTTTCTATATGTACTCGTAGGCGTCCCGTCTGATGAAAAAATATGAGGTGTGTCATTTATCGACCGGTGACATGCTCAGAGCCACTACATCGTCGGGTTCGGAACTTGGGGACAAGATCAAGAAAATTATGGAAGCGGGTCAATTAGTGTCTGATGATATTGTGTGTGAGTTGATAGATAAGAAGTTGGATAGTCCTGAGTGTCGGAAAGGTTTCATTCTTGACGGATTTCCTCGGACGATTCCTCAAGCCGAAAAGGTTTGACGCTTACGCTAGAATCTAATAATTTGTAGCTTGACGAGTTATTGCATCGGCGAAAAGAAGATCTTACGGCCGTTGTGGAGCTTAGAGTTGCTGACGAATTGCTCATAACTCGGATTTGTGGTAGACTCTTTCATTTGGCCAGTGGACGATCATATCATGAGACCTTCAACCCTCCGAAAGTCCCAATGATCGATGATGTATGTTAGTTTCATTCGGTCGCCTTTCTTGTCTCTCTTCATTCGCAAATCGAATGAATTTTAGATAACTGGTGAGAGGCTTGTTCGGCGAAGTGATGATACCAAAGAGGCTCTTCAGAAACGCCTTGAGAGTTACCACAACATGACGTCTCAATTGCTGGAATTTTATAAGAAAAAAAATTTACTTCTCACTTTTGACGGCTCTCAAAGCATGGATAAAGTTTTCACTGACATTATAAACGGTATTGACAGACAAAAGTAAAAAAAATCTGTTCTCAGTTATGCTTGTACGTTTTTCGAATTGACTTGCAGCCCAATATTGTAGATGCATACTTGATATGTATTGACCAAACAGCTTTGTTTTCTCCTTCAATATCTATTAATTTGGACTGTCTTAGAGGAATCATATCCTGATCTTTATTCTGACTGCTTGAAAGAGGCGCTGATCAATTTAATCTCACGTGTATTTGTGCGTATCACCGATACCTGACGTGCAATTAAGCTATCTTTTCACAATGGGTGATTTCGAGCAGGTTTGGAAGTGACAAATTACTTGACTGACGATAATGATTGTACTCGCTAGCACTCACTCAGTAACCAACTATTGCCTTGGTGAAGGCTGTGAAGCTCATGCATATCATGGAGCAGTATCACTAAGTGGATTCTGCACTACTGTGATTCGTTTAAGAATACTTCCCATCGGTGGGAATGTTATAAACTTGTCTCCAAAGGATCGTATACAGTCGCGAAAGAAACACTAGTTCGTGTATTTCCAACTGGATGGTATTAAACTCGTGTAGTCTGCCTTCTATTCATTTCGCTCCATTAGCTATGAAAAGTTTGTTATTAAGACCCTTCTGCAATATCAGTCAGGGGTTGATTTTTACTCAAAACAAGTTGAGAAGCAACCTTTTTTGATCCTGATATCAATCGATTGCTCTTCAGTAAGGCAGCGCAGTCTTCCAGTCATGCTAGTAAACTTGTCCCAACTGTTCGATTTTCTAAGATCTCATACATTATTTTGACTCACTTGGATTCAGGCAATTTTACTGGTGGCAGCACAGGGCCAGCACACTGCTAGAGGTCAAGCAAGATGCTTCATGTTAATGAGTAGGGAGCAACGACTTGGGATGCGTAAAACGGTGAAGAAGCCAAACACGAGTATAACATTATCCTCAATGATCGAAGCGACGCTTTGGAACTGTTCACGTCGCCTGGATGAGGTTGGTTATGTTAACAAGTGATACCACTTCGATGTCTCCATCTCCTTAATGGTGCTGAGGTAGGTGATGGGGAAGGATTGAAGGTGGAATGAAGGGACAATGATGACAAGGCACCAAATACCATTTGGCCCTCCTTTTTCGAAGTAACTCCGCAAATTATTGTTGGAGTAGGAGAATTTGTTACGCAGATGCATGGTCCAGCGCTGGGCACAGTAAAGTTACTGACACTGCGATACAATACCTAACGTTCCAAAATTTGCATGATCGATATGCGAATTCACGGGTTACCAAAGTACTGACATCGTTTCGGTTAACAGAGTTGCCACAGTTGGTTTAGCTGCAAAAAGGCGAGAATGATTCAAAAAGAGAAGTCAGTTACCTAATTTATGTACTATCTAAGCCCACTTTGAAATGAATGGATGGTTGTTCTTCTCTAGGCGCGGTTTTCATTTCCCTGTGCAACTTTGACTTACGATTATTTCAGCGCACGGCTCGGACCTAAACAACTCTCCATTACCATGCATTCAGTTAGAACGTGGGATCAACGATTTGTGGGAAGCATCCAAGATAAATGAATCGCCATAACTGGAATTAACGAAACTGCTCCTTTTCATATTGAAGTAATCCACGAGCCTGACCAGTATTTGTGGCACACGATTACTTCGCTATCGACGTTTCAGAGTCTAATCTAAACAACCCTAGTAACACCCACGTAGATTAACTAGACTGCTGAAAGTCAAATACTCTTCAAAGCTTCCCAAAGCAGTAGTAGCCCCCGCTCACGATAAGACTTGCCATGCTCTTTTGTTTTGTTACCTATCAAGCAGAAATGAATGAGCCCCACCTCCGCCGCCGCTTCCCTTCGGGAATATCCTATACACGATGCCACAGATGAACGCACTCTCCATGCAAATACAGTAGCAATCAAGCCTATAATGCCCTTAGACATCGAGACCAAGTCCAGACACCAAAATATCAAACAGCTAGATTAAGAACACAGCTACCCATCCGATTTCTGCATTACAGGATCATTTATGTTAGGATTCACAATGACACAATGGATGCATACCACCCTTGTAAGCGATAAGCGAAATTACATTCCCAGCATCTGCACAGACGATAGCCGACGAAATTTAGAAAATCCAATGCCGATAACCACAAGTTCTGCCACTGCTTATCCAGGCATACAAACCATCCATTTCGTTGACAAATAAAAAATCAGACATGGCAACGCTTAGAAGCACTTGAAAGACTAATTTCAAAACACCAATACATACAAGAGAGTAGCTCCAAAGGAATTAGGACTCGTGAGTAAACCAGATAGTTTTACTAATGGTACCTGTGTAACAAAGATAACCACTCAAGTTATGATGAAAAAAACCAGAACAGAGCTGTGCAGTTACAGGCTCCCTGAGGAAGTTCAAGTGAAAGAGGAAAACGCTTTGAAGTTAGCCAACTAGAAGAGTGCTTTCATCAATAAACTTGTAGCTAGGAACTTCCATGTTGGTCGGAGCTGGACCCTTTCGAATACGTCCCGAAAAGTCAAAATGGCTGCCGTGACAGGGACAGTAATAGCCACCAAATTCACCGGCATCAGCAATAGGGACACAGCCTATTAGATTAAGAGAATCCAAATCCATTCCAAGAACATATAGGAAAGCATATTTATTCGTACTACTTACCCAAATGCGTGCAAACGCCTACACAAACAAGCCATCTTGGGTCCTTTACTCGTTGTTCATCAGTCTCCGGATCACGAAGAGCTGAGAGTGGAACGCTGCGCTCCATATCAATCATATTTTGAGTCCGATGCCGTACAAATAACGGTTTATTTCTCCACTTAAAAACAACATTTTTTCCTTCAGGAATGGAAGCCAAATTCACTTCCAAGTTTGCGAGGGCTAGAGTCGAGGCTGAGGGACCAATGCTTTGGATCAGCGTCTTAACTGCATATTTCGCCGACGTAGTTGCCAAAACCGTACCAGCTAAGACAAAAGTACGATTCAGATTTACAAATTATGATTGAAAGGTGGAAAGTAACTTCACTTACCAAATGCTATTGTATAGGTAAAGATCTTCCGGTCGACCTCGGTTTTTGAGGAAACAGATTTTGGATCTTTCGTAATCTCGAGTCGATGTTTATCGAAGCTGGGAACATTTGTGACGTCAACGTGCGAGAACCGAACCTGTTGAGGAACTGGGTACATAAGGCATTCTAAATGAACGTACGCCCGACACCGCACGACACCGCCGAGCCATTGGTCACCGAAAAAAGCGGACCGTATCCACGTGAACTGAGAGGCTGTGACAGGGTCGGGAGTGGCTGCTTAGTCTTTCTACTAAGGCATTCAGGACGAGCGGTGCTTAACGACAGAGGTATGGATCTTACAGATGCAATGCGAAACGGAAAACAAGCACCGACCGCCATCTTCCTTCCTATAACGGAGGGCACTAAACCGGCGGAACACAATTGCAGCTTCTAATGCCAGAGGCTGAAAAATTGCTTAAAATGCGGGTACTTTGATCACAAAAGAAGCATCCTGAACACCACCAATTATATAATGACCCAGCCGAGTTTTGAAGGAACAATTACCCACTGCACGATCCCCAAGGTTCCACTACAAGTGAACAGCAGCGGCAGATTCTGAGCGAAAGTGCTAAACCAGGCATGGGACTCTGTAACACAACCCCCGCCCACCTCACCGGCTTGACCAAGTCGCAAACCACAGAGCCTGCCACTCCCCCTCCCC